TTAAGATCGCTATATCAAAAATCGAGTTATGCATAGGTAAAGAATCAGGTAAAGATCAGGGCTTTATAATAGAACTTTAAATGTTGCTATGAAACTTCGTTTGCTAAGTTGACTTCCTCCGCTTTCTTTTTTTTTTAAATCTATTATATTCATGGGTATTTTATTAAGTATATTAAATAGTTAAAACTTATCGTACTTAATTATATCAAGGTTTTCTATAAACTCTGAACATTTGAGCAGAAGTCAACTGATGCATAGTTTCTGTCAACTCAAGACGACCTTCAACCTTTTGCGACGCAATATATTAAAATCAAATAAAAATTTGTTATTTTGGAATTGATTTCGTGGCGATTTAGTAGCTTATGTTATGAGTTGAGTGCCCGCAGCTTGAATGAATATTCACGCCGCACTCAACTGATCATTAGGGCGAACAAAAAAATATATAAAAAACAACCATTTTTGTCGCTTTCACTGACAAAATTGTAAAACTCCAAGCATAATTGGCCAAAGCTCCCTCCGAAAGGAGGTAAAGACCAACCCAGGGTCAAAATGTAGCGCTCTGGGCTACTCATAATTAATGGGCTAACTTAGTGACAACTAAATGAGTGTTGCGTTCAATTGAGTCACAAAAACTAAAAAACTAAAGAAAAAACACGCCGGGAGTGCACGACTAGCAGTTACCCTGGGCACAGAGCTAAGCTAGAAGCTGGAAAAAAAAAGAAGAAGAAAACACAATAGCTGTGCTTATTCTTCTCTTTGCTCCACACTAATTATAGGAAGTGCTTCTTCTTGCCTTTGCCCCGCACTAGGTATAGGAAAAACCTCCTCGTGTAACTCAGGTGTTTACAGTCTGATCTTTATGAAATTTTCAGGGCATAAATATGGCACTCAACTTTGTATACATCCCAAATTTCAGAGCTGTTTCTTCTCTAGTTTCGATAATAATCGTATTATAATAAAAATGGAGCGAGTAATCGAGAAGAATATGGTATATGCTTTCAATTTTGAGTTTAGTTTTCGAGAAAAACGCGTTTTTACAAACGGACAGACAGATGGACTCAGCTCGTGATCGTCCTGATCAAGAATATATATAAAAGTCTTATGGGGATGCTTTCCCCATTCTGTTACATACATGTGCACCTAGACATGCTACCCTTTGTTGGCCATATGCAATGGGTACAGGGTATAAAATAACACAAACTAACACGGAACCGGTTCTCGGGGGCCGCCAATTAAACGGAACAGGTGAACAAAGTGATCAGCGATACGAGCTGTGATCTCTGCGGACCAGGCCAAAGCCTTAAAAAAAAACAAAACAAAACAAAACAAAATACAAAAAACCGAACTCTGTTCAAATATGCGCCGTTCATTTATCAAGTTTGAAATTCGCGCTAATGATTCGGGGAATGCGTGAGCGAAGTCTGCGATTTGAGAAATTGTTGTTTTATGCTAAGCAATTACAACAACAACAACAACAACAATAACTAAGACTCGGCCCCCGAGTCTTGACTTTGGTTGCGCCCGATTTTTATGCAAATCCCAGCAGCCGTGTTTTATTTCTATTAAATTTTCAGCTTCGGCCCAGGCGACATTGTGTCTCGTCTTGTTGCCCATTAAAAATGCTAATTTACAAAATATTTTCGCCAAAAACAAAAACCACAAGCAAACAATTTATAAGGAAGAAGAAGAAGAAGAAGCGTAGAATAAGCCGCAAAAAAAAACTACAACTTTTTGTTTGCTCATTAACAAATGAATTAGCCAAAAAATGCTAACAGCTAAAATCGAAAAACCATAAAAACAAAATCCCCAAGCTAAAATAAACATGAACGTTTTTTCAGAAAATTTAAATTCAGGCATAAATAAATAAAAACTAAATTAAATTAGAAAATAAAGAAATAACTATAAACTATAAAAATCGAATAAAAATAAATGATATAAAGCTGCAAATTGATTTTATTAGGTCTACGAACCGCAATTCCCCATTAAGCCTAAGCAACAAAAATTATCGATCCCTTTAAAGATTATTGGCGTTATTTTAACTTCTTTTTAACAAGCGAAAGTTGTCCCGAACTTGACTCAGCCTCATTTGTCAAAGTCTCTTGAGTACAACGGAAATTGTTTAAGCATGATAATAGTTCATATTAATTCATATGGAAGTGTTAATAGGATTATAAGTCATCACATTCTTCAGATTCTATAGTTATAGCCCAAGCAAAAGTCGAGATATGGTGACAAGTTCGAATAACCTATTCATAACTCGAGTTCCCGACATGCGATTGTCATCAAATTTGTCTAGAACTGTTTATATGATCTTAAGACATCACATTCTTCAGATTCAATACTAATGCCCCAAGTAAAAGTTAAGATATGACAAGTCAATTCGAATGGTCCATCCATAACTCGAGTTCCCGACATGCGATTATCATTCAATTTGTGTTAGATTATAGATAAGGTGTTAAGACATCACATACTTCAGAATCTACAGTAATACTTCAAGTAAAATTCGAGATATGTCGAGTCAATTCGAATGGTCTATTCATAACTCGAGTTCCTGACATGCGATTGTCCTCAAATTTGTGCTGGATTATAGCTTTTTGATGTCCCTTTTAAATACCCCTAGGTCGATTTATATTTATAGGGTATATTTATGATACTATACTATAATATACTATACTATACTATATATTAGACTATTTTGTGCTATTCAACTTAATTTTTGTATAACTTCACTTTCTTCAAGCCTCGCCCCAATAAGTCCCAAAATATATTATGACAAAATTTAAAGACCATTCATAACTCGACTTCCTGACACGCGTTTCAGATAAGCTTCCCGGGAACTGTTTATATGGTCATAAGTCATCAAATTTCTAAAATTCAACGCTAATGCCTTAAGTAAAAGTCGAGATATGACGAGACAGTTCGAATAGCCTATTCATAACTCGACTTCAAGACATGCGATTAACAGCAAACTGTTGCTAAACTGTTGCTGATTGTTGTACTTGAATTATGCCTTTGAAATCAACTATATAATGCTATAGCATTTGTCAGTAGTAGTTATCAAGTATATGATATATGGGCAGATTAAATAAAGTTGTCTGTAAGCATTTGTCAAGTCGTAATTCTTCACATGCTTCAAATTCTACAGTTATTTCGTTAGTTAAAGTCAAGATATGATATGACAATTTATATGGCCCGTTCATAACTCAAGTTCTAGACTTCCAACAAACAGAAAATTTGGTATAGGCAGAGCTAATAGACATAGTTTTGATATGAGATGGACTTGGTTCCAATTGTTCAAGTCATTCTATTTATAAATATCTATCGTAAATAAGAGCGAGAATTAAATAATTATTTTTAAAACAATGTCCGAGATTTAATGGGACAAATTATGAAGTGAGATTTTGGAAAATTTATTGTGACGAAATTGTTTAAATGTGAAAAGAAGACAACAAATTCTAAAAATAAAAGATATTTAAAATATAAAACAAAAAACATTCTCCATTAATAATATGCCCCAATAAATTTAATTCAAATCTCCGATTCTAATTTCTGTAAAATTCTCATTACATTCGAGCCCAATTTTCGAATAACTTCTGTATAACGGCTGTCACATCATGGGTCGTAATCTTGAGAGCCTATCATATCGGAGCAATTGACTAAATTTAGTAGCACTAACTTATTTTCTACTCTAATTTTAAGTATTTATTTAGCACTTTATCTAATCGTGTCGCATTTTGGGCTAGATTATCGGGGGCCTATATGTTTGTGTATGGGAAATTTCTAGATTGTTGAATAAAAATTTTGCAAGAAATTTGCATTCAAATTATGCGACGCATAGCTCAGCAACAACAACAACAACAATGCGCACAAGAAAAGTGCTGTGTTGTGACGAAACGACGCCGACTGCGACGCGAGCAGCGCGCAGCGAACAGCGCAGCTGGCAGTGCAGCCTGCAGCGGCTGCTGGCCTCAAACGTAGCTTCCCCTTAAATTTAATGTTTTGTTTTCGCTGCGTCCCGCTCACACTCGCATGCATGCGCTCTCGCTCGGCAGCGTGTTCGACTTCCGTTCGTTTTATAGTAAAAACGTAAACGAGAGCAGCGCAGCGACAACAGCAGCAGCAGCAGCAGCAGCGACAGCAGCAGCTAGACAAGTGAATTTCTACACACAGGCACGAAAATGCGCGCGCTTTGCACACACATTGAAATGGAAACCAAAACAAGGAACGAACTGGCAACGAAACAGCAAGCGCTCTCTTCAAAACGAGCGAGTGAACTGTGGAGCGTATGTGTGTGGAATGCGTTGCAACAAAATGAACCGCAAAGAGCGATCAACCCGATCAGCGGCAAATAGTTCAAATTCCAATCGTGTCTTTAATTGGGGGAAGCGAACAACATACAAATATGCACGAAAAAAAAAGAAAACAACAACAAAATGAGCGCAGCATCGAACTCTCGAGAGACATTTCATCTGAGTCATGGCTTTTCCGTGCAGACAAAAAAACAAGTGCGTCATTTTGTCATAAATAATGCAGCAACTGTTAAACGAAATGCAAAGCAAAATAACGGTACGCTGATTGATTCTTTGTACGCAAATAAGAGCATGTGGGTGGGAGGGGTGGATGTAGAGGAGAGGGGCTTATTAAACTAGTGCGACTCTGCTGGCGCCCTCTTATTCCTCTTTGCGATCAATGCTTCTAACGGTGCATGCGCTGCTTTGGCGCCGGCGTCGCTGTTGGAACATAAATTGGTATGCCTGCGCCTGTGTGTGTGCAACTGCAAGGAACTGGACTCAATGCATTGCAATTGAGCAGTGGCCCACAGTCCACACTCAGATAGACATCCCGTTTGGCAAGCACAATTGGAATTGAAACACGCTCATTGTTGTTGCAGCGCTCTCTTTTGCTGTGCTGTGTTTCACATGCCATGTTGTTTACAGTTGCGCTGTGTGTTTTTGTGGCTTACTCGCTAGCCTCTTGTTCCAGCACTGTCAGTTCCATTTGAAACTTTTTACCGTTTGGTTGGAAGCGCGCTTCGCGAACAGCACAATTTTCAAATAAATCGCCTGTCGGCCGTCGTGTTTCTGTTTTTCTCGTTTTGTTTTGTGATTTACTCTCCTTTTGGTATAAATCAACGCGCGCGCCAAACTGTAAAAGGAAGCCTAGCAAAAAGGAAAAATATCAAAATAAACAACAAAAAATTTCAAAGAAAAAAAATAAACACCAAAAACAATATTTGTAGTGTCTACTTTGTGTTTTTCTCGTATGTCCGACATTAACTGTTAACTGTAAACTGAAAAATGGTTAAGTGAAGCATAATATAAACACAAGAAATGGCAAACAGCAAAAACAACTGTTAATGCCCAAAGCATAACGGAACTACATATTTAAAGCAAAAGCAAAAACAAAACTTAATCGCAACAAAAAGTGTGACCAGTTTAACTAACACGTTACAAACACATTACTTTGTAACGCGTTCGATTTTCGTTATAATTTCAATAAACGCATCTGTGTGCGTGTGTGTGTGCTTGGTTCAGGATCGGAGCTCCTACCCAACAGCCACCGCGCCCCCCCCTACGGCCTACTCATGAAATGCAAAAGTTGGTCCAATAAAATCAACAATTTTGTTGTGCGAAGATTAAAGTCCATAAAGGTAAATATTATTTTTTTAACGAAAAAGTATACGAGCAAAATTCAACAAATTGCAATTCAAAAATATGTGTATTATTTAAGTTAGGACTTTGTTTCAATTTGCTTTCAGAATTGTTTAATTTCTTATTAAATTAAGTACAACTCAATAATAATAAAAAAAAAACAGGAAAGTTAGAAATAATAAAAGAAAAAAAAATTCAAAATTAAAAAAAAAATTATAAGTCTTGCAAACTCCAAAGTTTTTATGTTTATATAATTTCATAGAGCTATTATAGTAAAATTATGTAAATAATAATTATTAAAAAGAATTTGAAAAGAAACCAATATAACAATTAAAATTAATAATAATAATTAAAAATAATATATTAATATACAAAAAAAAAATCTTTGAAAATTGTTGAAAACTTTAAACTTGGAAATGTGCTTAAAATGTATATTTAAGGAAAATGCGAAAATAAATTTATAAAATAAATAAGTTCATTATAAACAATTCGGCTGCAGGCATTTTCCTTTAAATTTGGTACATTTAATTTCACAATGAATTTCTCTTTCAAAAATTTAACAAAAAAAAAAAATTGCTCAACAATAATTAAAACTAATTATAAAGAAAACAACATTGAAGGCACGCGGTCGAATGCGTAAATAGTTAAATTATTTTGCTTTATATAAAAGAAAAAGCAAATATTTATCAAGTTGTTGTTAGATTTTTAGCAATCGTTAAACAAAACAACAAATTGCAATTAAATTGTTTTTCTGGCAGCTGTTTTTTTTTTTCTCTTCGCTTTTTATTGACAATTAAAATAAGAAAAAAAGAAAAAGCAACAATGGGAAGAGAAGAAAAAAAAAAACAACAACTAAATAATAAATCAATTTATTTATTTATTTCATTTTCACTGTAATCGGCCTCAGCCCCGCTCGCAGCTTCCCTCTCTCCTCTCTTCCACTCACACGCACACACACACACACAGACTTTGTTTCCTTTTGCGCCTTTCACTTGTGCATGGCTCGCACAGAGCGAGATACACACACACACACACACACACACACACACATACAAATGCATATTTTATAATATTTATTTACATTGACGTTGACGTCGCCGTCGGCGTCGCTGTTGCTGTCGCAGCCGCGCCCGCCATTTATTTTGTTTACTACAGGCTTTTTCTCAGGCCCTGTTGTTGTTGCTAGTGTTATTATTGTCTCTTGTTTGTGTCTTGTCTTTTGCCTTCGTTTTCGTTTCACACATACACACACACACACACACGCATACATTTTGTTTTGTTCGCCGCTTCCTTGTCCTTGTCTCTCCTACATGTATTGTGTATGCGCGCGTGTTTGTGTGTGTATGCTTCGTGTTTTTCCACCCGACTTTTGTTGTTTATTTTTACATCTCGTCGTCGCTTTACGCGCTCTCTTGTGGGCTACAAATTCTTGAAATTCTTTTTCTGTTTGTTTTTTTTTTTTTTTTGTTGTATGTTGTGTGCCGCACATTTTTCCAGCGGGAAAAACGAGTTTTTCCAGGCAGCGGCAGAGCATGCATTCTTCTTCTTGCTTGTTTACAGTTAGGAATGCGGGTGCCTCTTGAAACAAAAACAAAATGAAGAAAAGAGCAACGAAAACAAAACGCACACTCGCGCTCTCCCTTGTGGATAGCATTCGGATTGATAGAATTGTAGCGGGAGGGGGGAGGCGGGTATGTTGTGTGGATGCCATTTGTGTGTATGGAAAACCTAGACAATATTATGTACATACAACAACAATCATAAAGCATTAAACGTACAATTACCAGGCGCTCACTCTCTCTATCGCTCCCTATCTCTCTCTCTCTCTCTGTCTGCCCCGCTCTCAATCTGTGCGCTCTCACGACCTGGCGCACAAGTTGTTCGCCTTGTAAAAGAAAAAAAAAAATTGAAGGCGCCAGCGCCGAACAACAACAAATCTCATTGAGCGGCGGCTGCGCTGCTTTGGCCCCATTATGAACATAACATCGGCTCGCTCTCATTGTCGTTCGGCTCTCTCGTGCGCTGCTGCTGCGACGGCGGCTGCCTGCTTGTTGGGGCTCACATCATTTTCTGTTTTTCGCTTCTGATTAGTTTTTGTGGCGCTTTGAAACCGGACGTGTCGTCGTTTCGATTGTGCACGCGTTTCGCTCAAACACACACACACACACTTGCGAAACGCCCCAAGCTTGTCTACACACATATATATATATATATATACATGTGTATGTGTGTGTGTGCGCGCTCTCCTTAGTGCGATTAAATAATACACCGCAAAAGGCCAAACAAATTACATTACAAATAAAATTAAAAAAAAATAAATAAATAAGAGGAAGAAGCAACAGCAGAACTTCACGTTCTCATTGCATAAATTGTTGTGTTTGTGGTTTCGTTTTCGTTGCGTCTTCGTTCCGTTCTAAATTCCGTTAAATAGCAAAGAAAAAACAAGCTTTCAAAAAGAAGTTCCTAAATACACACGCACTACAACAACAGCAGCAGCAGCAACAACAACAACAACAAACGTCGTCATCATTTTTTTGGTTCGTGTTCCTGTTCCCATTCGTTGTTTTTTTTTCATGGAAATTTTTGATTGCAAAAAAATTAAATAAATGTGAATTCCTGATAATCCGCGCATTCTATGAAAATTTATAAGTGCAAAAATTTTGTGTAAGCAAATTTCACAAGCCAAATAAATATTAAATACACACACAAGCGCACACACAGATAAAAAATAAACGCGCGCGCATCTGCTTCTTCTTGTGCGGCAGACTCTCAGTGCGTGGCCCATTGGAATTTGTACCGTAAAACGCAATTACAACATAAAATACACAAACAGAGCGCGGCCCAATGTAAACGACGTAAGCCAAACAGAGACAGAGCGAGAGAGTGGGAGAGCGTGCGTCTCTCTGTGTGTGTGTGTGTGTGTGTGCGTGTGTATTATGTAGCGGAATGTTTTGTGTGTGTGCGAGCGAGCGGGCGAGCTTGTTCCAATTGGAATTTGCAGTTTGCATTTGCATGTTTTTCTGTTGTTGTTTGTGTTTGTGTTTGTTTTGCACTGCGTGCATTTTCATTCATAAGCGCATTTTTACAACTTCCGCTCAAATGGAAGAAGCAGAGGGAATAAAAACAGTTAGCTTTGTGTTGTTTGCCTTTTGCTTTTGCCCTTGCCGCAGCAGGCTTTGCGTTTACCGTTCAGATTGTCCGTTTCATAAATCCAAATCCTAACGTTCAACTCGTCGAATTTTGTTCCTTTTTTTTCCTCTCTTTTTTCTCTTCTTTTCTGTTTTGTTACTGTGTTTCTTCTGTTCAGCCTTTACACGCTGTTTCCTGCGAACCGCCGAAAAGAAGCCGCTTGCAAAAATTAATTTCAATTCCCAATGCAGGTATCGTAAATGTTGAATCGTTAATTCTAATCAAAAAATCTAAGAAAAAAAAAAATTAAAATAAAAAACTGATCGGGTTTTGCCCAATCCAAAAACCCAACACGCACCTCTCTATATAGAGAAACCTACCCCACACTTGATCTCAGCAAAATAGCCCAAAATTATGCAAAACATGTCGCTAGAAAAAGAGAAAAAAAAAAACCCCCCAACAAAAAGATAATAATAAAATAAAATAATTCCGAAATACTCGTATTATTATTGCCCGCTCGATGCCTCTTTTATTAAACGCTTCGCTATAAATAGACGAATTTTTGCGAATTTTTCCGTGCTATATTTTCCAATTATTTGGTTTTTCTTTGAATTTTTCACGCCCACAAAAAGCGAAGGTAAGGCTGAGGGATTTGCGTAGGGGTAGGCGTGTTTATTTGGATCTCAAAATATTAGATTTCTCTTACTGCTGCAGTTGCCCTTTGGCAGTAAGGTAAACGATTAATTTAGCTACCTACTGCTGCTCGGCTCAAGTCTCGTTTGTGTGCAGTAAAGTTACTGCGCGGTCTAAAGCAAAGTTACTGCTGGAGCTAGATGAGTTACTGCGATGACTATTTGTCCAGTAAAAATACTGCTGCAGCTAGAAGAGCTACTGCCCAGTCTTAGTAAGCCCTAGTTAAATTACTGCTACGTCTAGATTCGTTACTGTGCATTGCAGTAAAGTTACTGCTGAACGAAAGGGAGTCTAGAAGAGCAACTGCTGCATCTTAAAGGTATTGTGCAGTGTACTTACTGCTGCAGTCAGAAATTTTACTGCTGGAAAGTTACTGTGCAGTACAGTAAAGTTACTGCTGCCCGAAAAGGAGTTACTGCTCAGTCTAGAAGGGCAACTGCTGCATCATGAAGGTATTGCAGCAGTGAATTTACTGCTACAGTCAGAAATTTTACTGCCGAAAACTTGCCGTGCAGTGCAGTAAAGTTACTGCTGCCTCATATTACTCCCCAGTTAGACAGTTCTTGGGTGTTACTGTAGTCCACTGCTGCAGTAGCAGTAAGAAAATTATTGAAATATATTTTTCAAATTTTTTCTATATTTTTTAAAATATTTCTTTCATGTTTATGTTTAAATAAACACTTTTTTTTTTTAACGAGTTTTTGTCTGTTTCTTTGTTTATTTAGCGCATTTCTTTTTTCGGGCTGCGAGGCGACACCCAACAGACACCTTGTAAAATACCCCCGGACCTCCCCTTCTTCCCCCTGGGGCCCCACCCTAACCATTTGTTGCCGCTTGCAGTTCTTTTCTTTCAATTGGTTGCAATTCGCGCGCTAGACAAAAATTTTTATTTATAAAACTCAATTGAAGACTATGTGTAGCCAGCCAGAGGATGTTGGCAGAGGTGCATGGGGCAGTGGGAGGGGAAGGGGGGAGGGCGAGAGGGTGCTACGATTGGAGGTGGGTTCTATGTTGAAATGGCGACGAAGCGACAATAAAATAGATTCATTTAAATGTCATTTTTGTCTAGACGCCGCCAACGTCGTCAGATCAGATCGCCATAGAATAGATCTAAATATACGTACATCTAGTATATATGTACATATATGTATATGTGTAGGGTATGTATGCATGTAGCATGCCCCTCGTTCGGTCATATGTTTTGTGTGCTAAGCAACACGCCTACGCACATAAATGAGGGGGCGCGTTCCAGATTTTTTTCTTTTGAAAATTTTCCACATATTTGTGATTTCATACACTCGCAGAAAAAGTGGGGCAACAATTTAGAGTAAAAAAACACTAACGAAAATAAAATTAATAATTATGGAAAAATGTTCTCAGCAAATCCCAAAAAAAAATCAATTCCCTTTTCACGCATTTCCCATAAACTGATTTTACAGCAACTTGTCACTTCTCTTCTCTCAGTGTATGATGCCATGCACAAGTGACATGTTTCAATCAGAGAATTATATATATATATAATATGTGCTCTACAAATCTAAGTTCACATATATTGCATGTATATAATCAGAAGGTGCTCCAAAGTTTTCGCATTTTGTAGCCGCGTGTTTCCTGTTACTTATTATTGTTATTGTTATAGTTGTTGTTGTTGTTGTTGTTGTCCCGTTACCTACCAAGTTTATTTTAATTATTTTGTATGTTGTTTGTTTTTATGGTTTTTCTTTTTTACCAGTTGTCGATCTGTGACGCAGACGAGAGGCCCAAAAACTGTGGCTAATTAGCCGAAAATAAAGAGGAAAGATCCAAACCAAAAGTCAAATACAAGATATTAAAACCAAATTAAACTAAATCAAAGCATATCAAATAAAAGTAGGTTGCGGCCAGTTCGAAAATATATTTATGTATATATTTATTTTTTTTTTTTATATGTTTTGTTTATGTTTTAAGTGCCATTCGCATAGGTAGTGCGTGGGCGTGGCAGCTGTTAAATGCTTGCCTATATGACGTCATGTCTGCAAAGCAATGGAATATGGCCTTGCGATCAGGTTGCAGATACCCTGTAAATGGCAATTGCTGTTTTTGAGCTGTTTTTCGAATTGTTTAGCATAAATGAGCTTTCTATCTTCAATAATCTCAGAGTTCCTTGGGTTTTGGTTAAATTTTGTTTTCTAGATACCCTGTAATTGTATCTGCAATTGCGCTTTTCACGGATTCTTTATCATCAATCTGTCCATCATAATGATCCCGAAGTTTCTTTAAATATTGTTGATTAGATACCCTGTAATTTGCTTTGAGAATGCAATTTCTTCTGCTTTTTCGATTTGTTTATCATCAATCTTAACTAAAAGATTATGCTGAAAGTATTTAAGCTTTCTAGCTTTAATAATCTCCGAGTTCCTTGAGTTTATTTTTATATAGTTTCCATCATATATATTAAAAGCGCTTTCACTGTGCATAAGTATATATAGATAAATATTCCATGAGGTTTTCAGTTGATTTCTTCTTAACGCAATTACAATATCCTATAAATAACATCAGAAATTCTTTTGTTTGTTTGTATTTGTTGTGTGTGTGTGTGTGTGTGTGTGTGTGCTTGAAGCCTGGTTCCATTTTTCCATTGTGCTTTTTGACTTAAATTAGCTGCCGTCTTTGACTTTCATTGACGCATTTGCTCACCTTGTTTTTATTTAAATTTGTTTTTTTTTTTGTTGTTTTATTTGTTTTTTTTTTCTTTTGCCTTTGTTTTGCATGCGTTTTGCATAATTTGATAATTTTGCGTTTTTACGACAAACGTCGCGATTTCTGGAAAAAAAAAACCCGTCACAGACAACGCGTCGTCTGGGCCAAGTAACTAAAGCACCAGGCCCCCCCCCCCCCTGTGCCAAAATAAGATCAGACCACAAAACGATTTCTTGACCAGCAACAACAATTTTTCTCAATTCTCATAAGTTAATAGAAATGTGTAAACAGGTGGCAATGAACTTTATTATATTTTTATGCTAAGTCCTTGAACCCGGAACAACAACAAGAACAACAATAAGAACAACAACAACAACAGCAAAGGCCAGACAGCAGCGGCAGACTAGTGCGTGCGAGCGAGACAGCAGTAGCTTGAACTTGACGTCAGCCGCACGCCAAGTACAAACAGCATAAAGCGTAGGCCTAACAAAATAAATAAATAAAACAAAAAAAGCTACCTGTCTCGCTCTGGCAGCTGTGCTGCGCCTTGTGTGGGACCTGTTCTTGTGGCTCTCCGCAAGTTCCGCTTTGTCGCTGCCTTTTTTGTTGTTTTGTTTTGTTTTTGTGTCTGTTTTAGGCTGGTCGCGACTGCGCGCTTTAATTTATTGCGTTTTCAAATTAACACGCACACACTCAAACACACACACACACACACATAGATATAGCCACGCATTGATTGATTTTTACGCTCTCACGACTTTTATTAATCGTTCTCACTCTCTTCCTCTCACCCGTTGCAGATTAACGGCACACAGCAGCTTCAATCGCCAAGCAGCGCCGCCAGCATCGCAGCCGCCGCCGCCGTTGTCGTCTCTGCCTCGAGCAGCAGCAGCTGCAGCAGCAGCAGCGTTGCCAACAGCAGCATAGAACAGCAGCAACAGCAACAACAACAGCAACTGAACACAACGGCAACAATGCCGGCGATGCCAAAAGAAAAAGCCACAACTGCCGTTTCCCTAAGCGAATCAAATTTCTCGGCTCTAAAGCTCAAGGAGCTGGCGGTTGTTGTTGGCGCAATGGCCACGACAGCGACGCGACTGCAACAGCAGCAGCAGCAACAACAACAACAACAGCAACACACGTGCGGCTGTGGCGCTGCATCGGCAGCAACAGCAACACCCACGTCGGCAACAAACACAGAGAACAACAACAATAACAATAACAACAGCAGCAGTCGCTACAGTCGCAGCAACATGTTTCTGACAAACGGTAAGCAACAAAACAAAAAAACGTTTAGCAACAAGTTGCCAAGCTCACGCACGCACTCTCTCTCCCTCCCTCTCTCGCTCTCTCTCTCTCATAGGCTACACATCGCCTCTGGCAGCAGCGGTGGCCAGCAACAGTTCATCAGTCGTCTCCACGCCGCAGCGCATCAAAATGTGTTGTCGTGAGTCGCTGTCGTATCAACGCCAGCTACAACAACAACAGCAGCAACAGCAACAACAACAGCAGCAGCAGCAACAACAGCAAGAGCAACAACAAACGCCGCCGCCGCCCCCTCCAGCAGCACAACAAATACAAGCAGCGCAGCCCCCCCGCCGATCGCCGAACGATTTCATCTTTGGCCGTTATATTGGCGAGGGTAGCTTCAGCATGGTATACCTTGCGGTGGACATACACTCGCGGCGCGAGTATGCAAGTGAGTACCGTACCAAAGTGTATACATCTCGATTGAATGATTGATTAAATAGATTGTCATATTGCTTGAAATACACTTGATTGACCGCTCTTATTGATTGATTGACTGACTGACTGACTGACTCTGCTCATAACATAATTAATCGATTGCTCAACTGAAATTACTGATTGACTGCGTGATTGATTAATTGATTTACTAATCGAGTTACTTGCATAATTAACTGACTTATTGATTGACTGATTGATGGCTGCTATAGCCCCCTCCCCTATGGATTTAAAATGTTGACCCGAGCAAAACCGGATAATACCTGCTAGTCTGTGGATACATATACTAACACCTAATACCCACCCCCTCGGCGGCAGCATTTGTGGGGCTGCTTGGCGCCGGGCAACTAGCGCGAAATGCGGTCGCAATTGCAGACAGCGGCGACGACGGCGCCAACGCCAACGCGCCTGCCAGTCACCTGCTGTTGTGGCGGCTGCCAACAAATCAAAACACACACATACACACCCACACGCACGCAGCTGAAACTGAAACCAGCTGTTGCTGATTTGAAAACGTTTTGTTCATGTTTGTCGGCTGGCTGCCGCATGCAAACACCGTGTGACAGGCGACAAAGTTGTCTAAGCCAAAGACAAAAGCAGCAGATAACAGACGTAGGATGAGAGAGAGGGAGAGAGCGAGAGTTGTGACGTGTTGCTGCTGCAACATATGTTCCCGATATTCTTCTCATTTGTTGCTGGTCACTCGGCAATCACGTGACTATCTCCCTCCCTCTCTCTGCTTTTAAGCACGCCTTTTGTTTTGATGTACAGCCACACTATAAATATTCATGCATACATATGTACATATATTGGAAATTTCATCAGCTAGTCGAAAACTTAAGCTAATGGCATTTTTATCTCGCAAAGGCTATGAATAGGGGCAAAACACACACACACACTCGCATACTTTGTGCTGGCTTTGACGTCTTTTGATAATCAACACATCAACAGCGACGCCGACGTCGCCGTCTGCGTTGCCGTCTCCTCTGCTGTGATAACGCGACGCCGACGCTGACGCCCTCACGCAATTGACGACAGTTTATTTTTCGCATTGTTATTGCTGTTGTTGTTGTTGTTGTAGTTTGTTTGTTTATCGATTGAAACAAAAAGGCCGCAGCGGGCGAAAAGCTGACGTCGTTCAAGATCAGCTGCTGAGCAGCGCACGACAAAAGGCGATAAGCGTCAGCAGTGTGAGCGAGAGAGGGCGACGGAGTGGGGGTGTGAGGGAAAGAACGCCTCCCTCCGTTTCACTTTCCACGTTTCCATGCAATGCAAATAACAAATAACTGTTTAACTGTATGCATGCGTGTATGTGTGTGTGTGTGTGCAGCTCACTGTCAGTTGTTGTTTATTTGTGCTAAGCCAATTTGCTTTAAGATTTTCGCCTGCAACAGCAACAATGATAAATCAATAAACTCGCAAAGTCGCGGCTTTGGCACGTGTCGCGCTGCCTGCAACGAACGCAAACGCAGCTGCAAATGGCATTGTGTGCATTTTATTTATCTTCTTCTTTGCTTTTAATGCAAAACAACAACAAAAAATAAGCGCGAAAAGCGCAACGCAAGGCAAACGGCGCGTGTCTGCAATAAGCTTTTGAGTGTTTTCCTCTGATAAAGCACAACTCACAAAAGCACAAATATAACGGGTGCAAGAACAACAGCAACAACTACAACAGCAGCAGCAGCAGAGGGCAGCATCAGGTGCATGTAAACAACAACAGTGCGCGCTGTTAACAGACAGCTTAAGTATATGGTCAGAGGGAGGGGAGGGGAGGCGAGCAACTGTTGTTTTGCTCTTTAACTTTGTGTGAGCGGAAGAGAGGAGCGAGAGTGCATGTGTGTGTGTGTGTGTAAGTGCAGCTGTGTTGTAACTGTTGTTTTGCTGCTGTCTGCCGTCAGAAGCTTAAGTTGTGTTTAAAAATAGACGCCCAAGAACATAAGCAACAGCAACAACAGCTTCCATTCTATCTCTCTCCCTCTCACACTCTGTAAACTAACATTTAATTACAGCAACAAATGCCCAGCTAATATGAGTGCACTTTCGACTTTGCATTTTGTTGCTGTTTTACAAATGTAAAAAAAAAACAATGAAAAAAAAAAAGGAAAACATTGACATTTGTTTATTGCACTCACTTTTTGAAGGTCAACAGATGTTTTTTTGCTGAGAGCAGCCGCCAGTCTTTTTATTGTTATTTTGTTTTATTGGCATACATTTTCCAATGGGCTCGCCCGCCCGCTATAAACGAGCGCAAACCGAATTCAACTCGTATCATTTATGTTGTTGCTTTTAATTTGCTTATAAACAGCGCTGAGCAGAGACGGCAACATTTTTATGGACTTGTCTGCCAACATGTTGCCAACTGTAACGCCCACTCTCTCGGGTTCTCACGCTCACTCAGCAGCTGCCGCTGCCGCTGCCCACAACTCCCACAAGTCCATTCACGATGAACGTAGCAAATTTCGTTTTCATTTTGTGTCACATGCCTGAGGTGAGCGTTGGAGAGAGCCCTGCTTCATATACACATACACACATATATTTATATGTGTGCGTGTGTGCGTACGAATTGTTGTTGTTGGTGTGCGGCGTCTGTTTGACGCGCTACGCAAATTCTTTTTACGCATTTTCACATTGTCTGTTGGGCTATTTCATCATTCCACGCAAAAGGCTTCTATGTGTTTGCGTGTGCGTGTGCGTGTGTGTGTTTGTATCTTAGTTTAATTGTTGTATTTGAGCGCAGCTGTGTAGCAGTTTTCCTACCTGAGCAGCGCGGAAACACGTGCTCTGCTGATCCTGCGCAGCTGCAGCTGTTCCTTTTATTTGTATTTCTCTCACACGTTTTAAGTATTTTACCTTAATGTTGCTGCTGCTGCTGCTGCGGCTGCACCCACGCACGAAATGCAACTTGTTGCTGGAACGCACTGGCATTGGTACACTCTACGATCTGCTCTGCGATCGGCCGTTGAACTGTTCTCTCAACTGTTCCCATATTCCACACTGGAACTCTACATGCTACGCTTTTTTTTCCCACACTGCCAATTTTTGGCCACTGAACTTGCAAAATGATTAAAAACGTTAGCAGACATTTTGCTCCGTCCGCGTCTCTCCTTCCTTCGCTTCTTCTCTGCTCTTTTCGTTTACCGTTTTGTTGTTGTTGCTCCTTTTTCTTGTGTTTGAATGCTGCTTCGTGTGTTATTTTTAATTACAGCAGCTGCTGCGCCGCCGTCGCCATTGCTGCGCGCAGTCGCAGCTGTCTAAGGGTATTTAACCTCTGCTCGCTCTCGCTCTCTTTCTCTCTCTCTCTCTCTCTCTTTCGCTCTGGCTTGTAACATAATATTGACAAATATTTTGGGTCATTCAACTCGGCGGCGGCGGCGGATCCTTTTCGCATATCCCTTTTGCCTGATTCATAACAATGTTTGCTTTTGCTGCTGCTTCTTCTACTGTTTGCACCTGCGCTTGTACCATTTTTTTTATGTGCGCTGCAGCTGCCATATATCAGGTAGGCAAGGGGGTGTGGCACGTGGCATGGCCTGTTGAGAACCCCCCGCCACCCACAGCGCGCTGCCGCCTCCCGCTCAGCTTTTACGAGCGAATTAAGTCGCGCCAGGAAGTCGGCTACAGCCTGCCTTGGCCTTGTTTTTATTATTATGCCACACACACGTACATATAAAAGAGAGTGAGAGAGGAAGAGAGTGCCGTTATCTTCTACTGCTGCTCACTTGTTGTGCAAATTGTCGTTTGTTTAACAACCATATTAAAAAAAAAAAGAGGTCCTTTGCGTGCCGTCAACTTGTCGCTCACTGCCGCCACCCCCCCCCCTCCCCCTCCTCAAAGGGCAATAAACTTTTGCTCAAACCACGCGGCAAGGCAGTCAGCAACAATAACAGTAAAAAAAAAAAGGAGGCGCACTCAAAATTGTTATATGACTCAGCCGGCAACAACAACAACAACAACAACAACAATAATGAGAGGCGCGCTCCTTGCCGTTCCATTTTTCCATATTCCCATTCCACTTGCGCGACTTCCACTAAATGCTTCTGTGCTGCGTTACCTGTGAGCCACTCTTCTTCTTCTGCCCTGTCATAAGCTGTTTGGTTATGCGCGACATATTTAAATGAGTTTCAAGCGAAACGTCAAGTTACGTCATGATGAGCAAGCATGATGCAAAGGGTACGCGGTGGGCGGAGGGGGGGCAGGAGAGGAAGGCCGCCGCCGCCAATGTTCTTTGCCAATTTTGGGCGGCAGTCGCTAATTAATGAAATTGAAATGCGAAACAATGCGAAATGGTACACAGACACACAGACACACACACACACACACACACACACACACACACAGACAGCTTGCAATTTGTGCTGCTTGCTCCTCGCCGCGGCGAATTCACAATCGACTTTTATCGCAATTTTGTCAGTTTTATGTCAATTCGCTGTGTCGTGCCAAAAAGGCCGCCGCCGTGACAATAAATTAACCGAAAAGAGCATTAAAAGTCGCGTGGGTCGTTCTTTGGAGTTACTTTTCTCTTTTTCGACAGCCGTTTATCAGACGCAAGTAATCAGTTTTATTGCAAACCCGCGCGCGCCCCCTTCAAAAAAACACACATTTCCAATCGCCTACGCGAAACAAAATTTTCCACTACAACAAAAATTGCCGAAAAATATTATTATGTGAGTAGGAAGCTAAGTTCCTTTTGAGCTTTGCTCTCACACTCTCTCTCTCCCTCTCACTCGATCTAACTCTGTCTTTGTATTGCGGTTCAAACACCTCTGTTGACTTCCTGTTTAACGTGTTCCAATTCCAAAACATACCCAAACGGCCTTGCACCCAATTAACTAACTATGACTTTTGGCTTTGGCGCTCGCTCTCCGTCTCTCTCGGTCGCTGTATGCATCTGCTGCTGCGTCTGGAATGCCATCCAGCAGCATTTGTTGCTGCAGTCGTCGCTGCTGCTGCTGCTGCGTTGTGTACAGTTTTCTATTTTGCTCTTTTTTGGTCATTGTCCTCCAGCAATAAGTTGCAGTTGCGTCTTCTGTCTTATTTATAGAATCGTTTGACTCAGTTGTCTCCCAACAACAACAACAACAACAACTGGTTACAATTGCAATTTATGTCTCCCACTGCAGTCGCTGCTTCTGCCTCTCTCTCTCTGTCAAAACTCGTTGTACTGCATTCCAATCGAGACGCAACAAGTTGCAATGCACGCGCTCGTATGTGTGTGTGTGTGTGTGTGTGTGCGCTGCATTTTTGAAATTTAACTCGCTCTCTCTCTCTGTCTCTCTCTTTGCTGATCAGTGGGACAAAACTTGGGCAATATTAATTTAATGCTGTGTCTTACCTCTTTGTTTGTTTGTTTGTTTTCTCCTATTCTTTACTTTTGCCAGCTGCTACACACATTATTATTGCTATTTACTTATGTGTGTTTCTTTAACTTATTTTTTATGTTTCACTGTTGTTTTACTTTATTTTTTTTTTGCACTTGCGCTGCCGCCACCTAGTTCAAGGCTGCGCTTTCGTCGCCTTATCAGGGCATTAAACCCATGAAAAAAATACACTTTTTTAAAACCGCAGCTCAACAAACGGCGCGCAAAAAATTAAAATAAATAATTAAAACCAACAATAAAAGAAAATAGAATGAAAAAAAAAAAACGCGCGCTCCGTTTCCACAATTCAATTCATATGCGTTCCAATCAAAGTCACAGAAAAAAAAATAGAAAAAAAAAAACTGAAAAAAGCAACGGTAACGGATTTCAAGGTCAATTTTATTTTTACGCACTTTTTGTTGTTCTTTTTTTGGCTTGGGAAATTTAAAACGCATAAAAAATCGCGCACTTTGTTGTTTTATTTGTGTTAATCTTTTAATTGCGGCTGTTTTGTTTTTCCTCTTTCGCCGTTTGAGTGCGTGCGTGTGTGTGTGTGTTTGTGTGTATGTATGTGTATTTAGCTGCCACTCGACAGCTTATCTGGCCCCTGATTTGTTTTCTAGACTACAAAAAAAATTCAGTTGCGATCTTGATAAAACGGCAAAATAAAAAGAAAAATAAAAACAAAAGCAAATTAATATTTGTATTTTCTATTGCCTATGCACACACACACACACACACGCACACACACTCTCACACACATAGTGAGCGTAATTTATTATATCAACGTTGTTTATTCGCTTTTTCGCAAATCAACAAATTTGCGTTTTAAGTTTTGTTTGTGTCGAAAACTGTTTTCTCACTTTTTTATTTTCATTTTATTTTCTTCGCGTTTTGTTTGTTGTCTTTGCGTCTCGAGAGTTTTCTGCACGAATATTTTCAAGTTTCCCACGTTCCGTGTATTTTGTATGTACATACATACATACATACATATTTTTTTTTTTATGTAGAGTATGTAAGGCGCATCGACACTTGATGAGGACAAAACTGTAAAGCGCACAGGGCAACTGCTGATAAGCGGTCATAATTCATAGTGGGAATAGAGCCGTTAACCTCTCTCCTGTTAGTGTGACGGGGTGATGGCGCGGGGGTCAAAGCTTAAAAGCGTCTCACATTTTGCTCAATAAATGTTTCAATGCCAACAGATTCCGCAGCCAAGCTTACTTGTGTATATTTATGTGTGTGTGTGTGTGTGTCTGTGTGTGCGGTTTTGCAGTTCAACAACCAGTTTAGAATTTCTTAGGGAGCAGCAGCAGCTAAGCAAACAAAGTATGGAAGCGCGCCCGCGGGGGGAACTGCAAACAAGTTCCCAAAGCGCGCTCGCTTTCGTTACTGCTGCCGCTGGCAACGTCGCCGCCGTCGCTGCCGTCGCCGTTGTCGCCTGTTAATTTAGCAATTTGAGCAAATTCCTTTTTTTTTCAGTTTTTTTTTTACTGTCTTGCCGCGCTTCCCTTTTTGTCCGTTGTTCGCGCGCTCTGTGCCGCTCTCTCGCTCTTGCATTCATTTCAATAAATCACACGAGGAATATGTATGCCAAATTGAAACAAGAAAACGACAAAAACTCACTGTTGTGTGCACATACATACATACATACATATAAAACGAACTAAAATCAAAGCACAAAAAGCGACGAGCCAAAGGAGGCACAGGCGACACAAGTGATGCTAGCAAGTTATGCGCTTGAGTCGGTGGTCTGAGCCTATGACCACGCTGTCGCCTGTGCAGTTGAGCTGGCCTGTAAGCTGATGCATACATATGTATGTATGTATTTATGTTTGTGTTTGTGTATACATATTTTGTAATGATCACCAAAGGGTCGATAGCAAATTGTGCGCTACAGTGCAGCACTTTGTTGTGGACAATCATGTCGCCTGTGCCGCTTAGCTCTTCATTTAATGCTGTGTGTGCGTTTGTGTGTGTGTGTGCATTCCTTTCGCTATCATTCAGCAAAATCTCGATTGGAATTTAACAGTTGTTTCATACATTGCTCGCTCAGCTGTTTTTTGATTCGCCGACATTTGACTAATCCGTTATCTCTTCCCGTCTCTCTCTCTCTCTCTTTCCGCTTGCAGTCAAAGTGTGCGAGAAGCGTCTAATCTTGCGAGAGCACAAACAGGATTACATCAAGCGAGAGCGCGAAGTGATGCACATGATGACCAGCGTGCCGGGCTTTGTGAATCTGTCGTGCACGTTCCAGGACCAGCGCTCCCTCTACTTTGTCATGACCTATGCCCGCAAGGGCGATCTCCTGCCCTACATCAACCGCGTCGGCAGCTTCGACGCCGCCTGCACCCGCCACTACGCCGCCGAGCTGTTGCTCGCCTGCGAGCACATGCATCGCCGCAACGTGGTGCATCGCGACCTCAAGCCCGAGAACATACTGCTCGACGAGGATATGCACACGCTGATCGCGGACTTTGGCTCCGCCAAGGTCATGACTCCCCACGAGCGCACCCAGGCGGCCGCCCAGCTGGCCAGCACCGGCAGCCTGGACGCTGCAGCGCAGCGACGCCGACGCTCGGCGCGCAGCTCCGATGACGATGACGAGGACAGCGAAGAGCTGTACGATGACCTGGACGAGGAGGAGCAGGAGCAGGAGCAGGAGGACAGACGTTTCTACTATGCCGTCGACGACGAGGACGACGCCAACGAGGAGGAGGCGCTGCCAGCGGCCGATGACGTTGATGCCGCCCGTTCCCCGCGCCATCGCCACTTCCGGAATCCCCGGATGCGCGCGCGACGCGGCAGCTTCGTGGGCACCGCGCAGTACGTGTCGCCCGAGGTGCTGCGCAATGCGCCCATTACGCCCGCCGCCGATCTGTGGGCCCTGGGCTGCATTGTCTACCAGATGATCTCGGGTCTGCCGCCGTTCCGGGGCAGCAACGATTACTTCATCTTCAAGGAGATTTTGGGCTGTGCCGTTGACTTTCCGCAGGGCTTCGACAAGGATGCCGAGGATCTGGTCAGGCAGCTGCTCAAGGTCGATCCGCGCGAGCGCCTGGGCGCCCAGGACGAGTTCGGCTACTACGAGAGCATCCGGGCGCATCCCTTCTTCGCGGGCATCGACTGGCAAACGCTGCGCCAGCAGACGCCGCCGCCCATCTACCCCTACCTGCCGGGCGTCAGCCAGGACGATGCGCTGTGCAGTGCGAATGGCACCAGCTACTGCCTGCCCATCAGCGTCGATCTGGAGCCGGGCCTGGATGAGCGCCAGATAACGCGTCTGCTCAGCGCCGAGCTGGGCGTCGGCAGCAGCGCCGCGGCGCCCGCCCACAAGCCTTCCGTGGCGAAGAGTAAGTTGCTCGAATTATCCTTCCTCTCAAGACTCAAGACTAATCTCGCCTTTGATCCTCTCCCCAGATTCGTTCGATTTGAGCGACGCACAGAAGCAGCAGCGCCTGGAGGCACAAAAGACTGACAAGTGGCACGTGTTCGCCGACGGCGAGGTGATCCTCAAGCGCGGATTTGTGAACAAGCGCAAGGGTCTCTTTGCCCGCAAGCGGATGCTCCTGCTGACGACGGGGCCGCGCCTCATCTACATTGATCCCGTGCAGATGATCAAAAAGGGCGAAATACCCTGGAGTCCCGAGCTGCGCGCCGAGATTAAGAACTTTAAGATCTTCTTTGTGCATACGGTAAGTCTTTGATATTTATTGCTTTTAGTATTTATTGTGGTATTTTTTAGTGCATTCTAAAAGGGATTTTTGTTTCCTAGCAGTAACCTTATAAGATTGTAGTCCATTTTATTTTTAGGCATTTTTTTCATATTTAGGCATTAAGTTATTTAATTTGCTTTTAATATTTTTCGCCTTGTTGTTGTTGTTGTTGCTGCTGCTGCAGCAGCTGTTGACAGTTTGTTGAACCAAGCAACTGTTGATGACGTCATCGCTGTCATAAAGTTGCCCCAAGCACACGCTCGCACTAACCCATTTGGGCCCAGTTTATAGCGACGGCACGTGTTTACGACCCAACAACAACAACAACAACAACAACAACGACAACTCAATTATATGCGACATTGAAAAGTGCACACGCAACGTAGATAAAAACCAAGCAACTAAAAGCGAATTCGACAAAAACGTCGATAATAAACAATAGTTTTTAACGGCCTTTGGTCACACTGTTTTTGCACACACTTGTTGTCAGCCAGTTTCTAACTGTAAATTTGCTCTCTCTCTCTCTCTCTCTCTTGCAGCCGAATCGCACCTACTATCTGGACGATCCCGAAGGCTATGCCATACAGTGGGTCGAGGCCATTGAGAACATGTCGAAACTGAGCTACGGCGATGCAGCTGCCGCAACGGCAGCCGATGCTGCTCCTGCAGCTGTTTCTACAACAACCAGCATCTCGTCCTTTGCCTGCTCGACGGGCGGCAGCAGCAACAGTTTGGCTGTCTACAGCACGCCCCTTGCCAGCTCGAATTCACCCGCCTCCAACAACAGTTCGCCTACAGCGCGGCGCAGTTCGCCGGCAGCGCAGCGACAGAAACTGGAAACAGCAGCAGCAGCAACAACAACAACAACAGTTACGACGACAACAACAACAACAGCAGCAACAGCGTTGCGCACATCACCGCCAACAACAACGCGCGGCAAGAAGACAGTGTCCAATTGAACAGCTGAACACGTGTCTCGCCCATTTCGTGACTGTTGTCGTTATTTAGATTTAAATGCAAATTAAATTCTAATTTAGTTGAAATTTAGTGCAAACATCAAAAACAACAAAAACAACTACTAGCAAAAACCTACACACACACACACACACACACACACACACACACACAAATAGAAATGCAAGAATGTGTCTAGTGCTAATTCGAAATTTGTTTATATATATAGTACACATATATATACATATATCAAATAACAATTTCTGTTTGTTGTGTGTCTCTCGTTTAACGTTAAACTTTTGTGCATATATATATATATACATATAGAAAGAGAGAGAAGAAGCAGCAGCAAAAACTAAAATAAAACACATACAGTTGTAAGCAGAAAACACATATAAAATCTATATATATATATAAAAACTAAATTTAAACTAAACTAATTTAAATTAAATTAAATTAAACTAAACTAAACTAAACTAAATTATTACAACAACAACAACAAATACACATAAAACATATATATATTTATGAATATTTGTGCCCCACTGTGCGGCAATTAGACAGACAACTGGCGCCCATAGATGGCGCCAGCAACTTGTATACATAGTTTAACTAATTTTTTTTAGCGCGTAGTTAGTCACAATTTAAATGAATTACAATTAAATAGCAGAAGCAGCAGCAGCAGCAGCTGAATAGAAGCTAAAGCTGCGGCGCCATCTGGCGGCCACAGTCTGTGCCACAGTGGGGCGCAACACTAAACTTAAGCCTAAAACTAAATTCAAATTGTATTCAATAGTTAAAAAGCGTAACTAGCAAATGATGTATGTAAAATTGTCAAACTGTAAATTATATATTTATATATATAGCATATATAGCATATATACATATATATATATACACACGTATAACTATAGTAAAAGGGAGTGTGTTTTTCGCCTAACTGTAAATTGTAACTATGTAAATCTATTACATATATATAAACATATACATATAAACACATACTGTACATTAGCTATATGCGCACGTCTAAAGCGAAAATGCCTATAAAAGTGGAATGAGAAAAAAGAGAAGAAAAAAAAATATATTAACAGTTAGCTTAGCCGAAGATTAGGCCGAAGTGAGAGACGGGCCAAATAGTGTATTGTCGCTGCCGCTAGATGGCGCCACTTGCGCCCGTCGCTCAGCTCGCTCAACAATTTCTAGTAAGAATTTTTTTGTATGCTAATTTTTTGATTTCTACATTTAATTTATATAATGCTTTTTTGCCCTATAAAGAAACGTATAAGACTTTGAGAAACTATTTAAAAGCAGAAATGAAAAACAAAAACAAAAACAAAAACAAGAAAACAAAAAACACATTCAAAGAAATACACATATACATATATATTATATACAACAAAAACTAATGAAAAAAGTTACACAAAAAAAAGAAGCTGAAAAAGAGTAAAAAAAAATGTTGAAATTTAGTTGAAATTACATTTGGAACAAATAACAAAAATGTATTTGTGTGCGTGTATTTTGTATACGTTTTTTTTTTCTTATGTTCAAATTGAAATTTTTTGTTTTTGTTTTTTTCCTTTTGCATTTCGCAAGCAAGAGAATGAGAGAGAGAGAGAGAGAGCGGAGTGTGGAGAGTTACAGTTAGCTTGAAAAGTTAGATACAAAAACAGGTATAAAATTGAATTTTAACTAAATTTAAATGAAAAAAAAACCAATACAACTAAAAACTGAAAAAAAAACCGCAAAAAAAATTAAAGCTAAAATTTGCAATAAACTAAAAAGTTTATTGTCACATAATTTTATGTTCGGCATTTTGGTTCGTTCATATAATGAAAAATGTTTCTAAAACTCGCGCGTATTAGTTCAATTGTAAAGCCTAAGTTATGCCTAGACCACGCCCCTAACACACACACACATACACATACACACACACACACACACACACATACACATACACTCACCCTCCTTAGTCGTAAGCATTAAAAAGCATGTGAGAGTTAGCAAAGAAATCAAGTGGAAAAGCAAACGTAGAAGATGAAGAAGAAGAAGGAAGAGAGAAACAATGAAAGAAAGCAAAAAATACATTTGTACATACATATCGCGTCCCGCATTTTGGTGGGCGTGGCCGTAGCAGCAATTTAACTATAGATCATTAAGTTACGCAAAGTATACAATTAATTCAATTAAATTAAATTAAATTAAACTAAATTAAATTGTATAATTTATTCAAAAAAAAAAAACAAACAAAAACAAAATATTGCAAAGAGAGATGTAAGCAACTAAATAGTGAGAGAAAATGTAAATTATAATATATACACACACACACACACACACACACACACACCAGGTATATATGCCTATATATACACATAATTGGTAAAGAAAACAACTACAACTACAACAACAACAACAAAACATTAAGAAAACGTATCATTAAAAATTAAAAATGAAAACATTTTCAAAAACTACAAAAAAAAAAAGGAGAAAATTTTGCAAAAAATTTGTTTTTATTTCACTTTGGTTTCCACACACCAATTGGCAAAAACATTTTACCGTTAACCACTTTTGGCAAACAACAACAGATTCTGGCATCGGTTCCAAGGTCAACAACTACTACTACCCCCCCCCCCCCACTCCATCGCCCCGCTCTACACAAATGCCTGTTAACGGGTTTTATACAAAATGCATTCGAATAGAACTTTACGCATAGGTTTCGTCACTAACTGTAAAATACAAAACCCCCTCCCCCCACCCCCCACCCCCAACCATCCTCAAAAGAAGAAGAAAGTAAAATACAGTAAGAAATCGAAGAAGAGTTTGACTTCGGCTTACCGAAGCTTTAATACCCTTGCAGATAATCTTGTGGCTGATTTGAAAGCTTTTCTGATCCATATAAAAGATCAATAATACTATATAATATAGTAGTTCGATCTGGGAGCTGAAAAAGTTCATCATTTGTGAGATTGTTCAGATTTTGTGAGTTCCAATTGGAGCTATATTAGTTATATGGTCCGATGTGGAAGCTGAAAAAGTTCTTCACTTGAAAGTTAGGTGTTATATGTCTGATTTTGTTAGTTCCAATTGGAGCTTTATGATATAATAGTCCGATATGGGAGCTTAAAGTTGAATAACTGAGATAATTGAGAGTTTTTAAAGATAGTTTTCCACACAAAAACTCCGATGTTGAGAGTTCCAATTGGAGCTATATGATATAGTGGCTCGATTCTTAAGAGTTTTTCCGAAAAATGCCATATCTGGATAAACAGAACGATTTAAATATTTTCGCTGCTTGTTCATATGACAGTTATATGTTATAGTCGTCCGATTTGGCCCATCTGCTGGCTATAAAAAGACGGAACTATTATCATGAAGATTATAGAATACTCCAAGCCCGAGCACAGATCAAGACAGACCTACTTTAATGATACTGATAAGGTGTATATATATATATATACTATCTCTATATAGAACAGTTATATATTTACGAATGCAAGGGCATTAAAAACTCGTATACCTTTTTCTTTGAATTCGACCTTATGTGCTGCAGTACCTAAAGAAGTCCTGTCACTGGAGACTTGAAAGTCGTAAACCCTACTACGTATATACACACACACATGCAAAACTATATATATATATATCTATATATATATATAGCGCATTTCCCACTCATGCATTATACAAGACTTCAGATACCCTTCGAAAATCATTTTGTAGAGAGAAAAACAAAAGAAAAAAAAAAGAGAGTCTCTATCAAATAGAAGAAAGTGCCTAGAGAACAACCAGTAGTAAAAGTTTCGATCAAAAACTTTTTGCCAATATCTCCCTATTATATATTATACCATATATATATATAGATAGCTAAGGCCTGGGCAATGTATGTATACGATTTGTGCGTTAGGAACTCTACACTTATGTTTGGCTCCATGCAGAACTTGAGTTCTTCGATAAATTAGTCGAAAACCTAGAAGAAAAATTGGTCTAAAATCAAGGAATTTGTTTCGTGTTCAATTTTTTGAGTGTGTGTGTGCGTGTGTGTGTGTGAATGTGAGTGTGTGTGATTGTGTTTTTAGTTATGTCAAATCTTTAGTGCAAACCTTGACCGATTATATAGTTTATATAGTTAATTCATATACTTATATATACTATATACAGACACATATATATATATATAGCCAATATTATATGAGTTTATACATAAATAACATACACATACACATACATACATATATATAGCGATATATATTTGAACATTCCACATTGTATATTGATAAAGTCGAGAGCGAATCGATCCGTTTTATCCAAGTTCAATCTCTAGGGGTGCTAGACTGAGTTAAATAAGCCTAAACGTAAACTCTTAACGTAAACGTAAACGTAATTCAATTACTACCTTTGCAAAAAAAAACAACATAAAAATAAAAATAAAATAAAATAAAGTATCTAATACACCAGACTTATTTGCAAGCTATGTGTACATACATACATACATATTTGTATACCTATACATATATATATATACATAAGATCGAAATATAATATACATAACCTATATAGTTAACCCTACCAAGCCCCTATCCTTCAACCATAACGGTATTTAATGAACCTAACCTAACAAACACACAAACACACACACACATAAATCAATATATATATATACATATATACATATACGACTATATATTTACATATATAGATTTTAAGCAGAAACGTATAAATTATTATAATACCTAAATACCAACACACACACACACACACTCACACACACACACGCATCTACCCCATATGAGTACCCCTCAAGTACATAACTAAGATCCGGAAGTAATAGAAAACAAAAGTCGAGTTCGAAACGTTTTTCTAATTCGACTGCAATGTTGTATTTTTCAGCACGTAAAACAAAAAAACAAAACTAAACTAAACTAAGTTCAACGCAGAGCAAAAACACACAAAAAGTTCGTTAAATTCAGGACGCATTCGCGCTGTTTAAAAAATTTCCCCAAAAACAAAAATACAAAAAAAATGAGAGGAACCGTACATAAATAACTATGAAATATGTCTCCAAAATAACACAAAAAAAAGTACAGTTTGTTAATGAAATTTAAGGTTTGAGAGTTGTAAAAGAACAGTTAAATGCTAAAAACAAAAAGAGAGTTGAGTGTAAGTTGAGTTTTGATTGAAAATAAAAAACAAAACGTGACGCAACAGAGAAGAAAAGAAAGAGAAAAAGTACCAAGTGTTTCAATTTTAACGGGCATTTGATAAGTCTTACAGCAGCTAGCTTTATGTCAGTTGCGGTGGGAAATTTTCAGCTTGGGTCTTTTGCTTGCTTAGAGCGAGACAAATATATATGTTGCGCTGCAGTGCTGCAGCAGCCAGCTTTTGCTTGCCCAGCAGCAGGGCGCGCATTTTAAATTTGTATAGTGAAGTTAAATGTGAAGCATGTGAAAATAAAACAACATAGAAATGACATACAGTGAAAGCTCGCTAGATTGGACACTGTAATTTTATATGCTGGAAAATATATATACAAGAATTGACAAAAACTATAAAAATTAGGCTACAAAATGTCTGTTAACCAAAAATATAATTTTATTATTTATATTTTACATACATATTGTTTGCGAAAAATGTTCGTCAGAAGAGTATTTACTGTATTGTGCGTAGAACTACATTTAGGAATACAAGAGCCCTAATTTAATAGGTCAATAAAATTGGGACATATTGATTGTTGGACTCCTTTAATGAGTTTTTACTGTATTAAACATAGTCGAATTTGTCCAATAAGAATCCAATTGCCAGCTGGAATATCTAATTAGCTTTGCTTTAGGTGTCATTCGCCTGCATTTGCCTGAAGCACAATGAAGTATTTGTGGCACGAGGAAGAGTTTAGGGAAATTTGGCCACTCAAATGGATAATACCGTTAGTTAGCTGTGGCTATTTGACGGGCATTGGACTCATCCTGCTCTGGTACGAATGGCAGCCGGCGCAAAGGGAGCGGGACCTGACGCAGCTGCTCTTGGTCCTCCTGGGTCTGCTCTGCCTGACGATGCTCTTCAGCCGGGCCGTGCGGTAAGTCGTGCGTGAATCCTGCTGGGATTGGAGTTGCAGACGGGCCTAATCGTTGCCCTTGCAGGTGCATCCTGACGCTGGCGCTGCCCTCGCTGTGCAGCTCACGTGGACGCGCCCTGCTCATTGCCCTGGCCTTCTTTGTGGCCGCCCGTGGACCCACCGCCAATATCCTGGCCAATCTGATGGCGCTGCTGCGCAGCTTGGCCTGCGGCCAGGCGCTGCTGCGTCTGGCCATTGGCCAGATGCTGGAAGTGGTCATGGAGCCGGTGCGTGCCGTCCACCTGGCCATCGATCAGCTGCTCGAGGAGCTGCGTCGTGTGCTGCAGCAGGTGCTCCAGCTGCTGCTGCGGATACAAAGTTACCTGCTGGTCATCAGTGAGTCCTCCACACTGTCTCCTGCTCCCACTCCCACTCCTGCTCATGCTGCTCATCTCGCCTGCAGTTGATGCCTTTAAGGTGTGCGCCGCCTGGCTGGAGTCTGTGCTGGAGCTGTGCAACTCGGAGCTGGGCTCGCCCTGGACCCGTTGCCAGCATGCGGCTGAGCGCGCCCAGGCCAAATGCCGCGCCAGGCTGGGCATGCTCAAGTCCCTCTGCCATGCCGCAAAGCTCTTCTTTGCGCTCTGCTATCCCGCCAAGCTGGTGGACGTGTTTTGCGCCGGCGTCTGGGATGAGAGCTGGCAGATCCTCGACACCATCATGAAGCGTAAGTCCCCATTGAGTTATCCTCATCCTCCTCCTTCAGCTGCAATCTCTGCTCTGTCCGCTTCCAGGCTATTACGAGTTTGTGGCCCAGCTGGAGCAAATGTTCGATGTGAGCATTAGCTTTGAGCATGAATTCTACTTCCATACGAACGCGTCCAAGAACCTCTCCGATGTCGGCGACGAGGTCATGCAGGATATTCAGCAACGTTTGCGTCCATTCATCATATTCCAGAGCTGGCTCGATCTGCTCTGCTGGATCATGCTGCTGGCCATTTTCATCAAGTAGGCAAGCTCTTAACTAAAGCTTCAGGCATGCATATCTATATAACGTTTATAAAACAGCTTGATTGACTTACTGACTGACTGATTGACTGACTGATTGATTGACTGATTGACTGACTGACTGATTGATTGATTGACTGACAGCCCCTGAGGGCTAGGCATCTGCCTTTTTAAAAGCAGTTAAGCTCGAAACTGGGCTTTGGCCAAATCCACTCACAAATGTGGAAAATAGGCGAAAAACATTAGCATGTTATATTTCTTTGAATCCGATCGGCTTCAGTCATTTTAAAAGCTCTTTGTAGAAATTAATTTGAGTGGTGTTTTATACTTTTCGGAAAAAAGCTTTGGTGGGTGAAATTTTGACTAAGCTTATTTTCACAGATGTACGTGGAAACTCTTTTGGTCCATTATTTACACTTTTTCGAAGTTTCGTTCGATCAAAATTATTAAGATTGTTAAGAGCTCTACTTATAAGCTTACTAAAAGCTTAATTCAGCGAATTCAGCAAATTTCACCCGCAACTGTGGAAAATTAGCGGAAAATGGTTGCATGAAATGTTTTCTGTTTTATCACCCGATCGGTTTTAAACTAAATTTTAAAGATCCTTTTAAAAATTCATAACGTTTTTCACATTTTGCTGGGATTCCCCCGCTCTAGATGAGATCGAAAATGTGTTAGATGAAAGCATTACAATTTTTATTATTAAATCTTGACATTAAAAATTAGTTAATGGAAAATGGGTGGAAATCGAATTCGTTTTGCAGACCACTGAGCCGAAGGGCAGTGGAATATGGGTGGAAAACTGTTAGCTAAAACGTAAAATATATGCTTAGGCCGCGCAAAGCCGCTTAATGTCAGCTAGAATCTTAATATCCAGCTCCACAGGGCCATCTATTTCTATCTGCGCTATATGCTCGGTCGGGAGTATCAGAATATTTATCTGACCAGCGCGCTGTATGCCATCGATAGGGATTGCGAGGCGCAGGGCCAGCCCACAGCTCTGCCGCTCAAGAGTCTGGAGCGAGCCAAGTACTTGAAGGTAATTACTTGAAGGTCCCTCAATTGGCCAGCCCATTAATCTAGCCCTAATCCATTCGGCAGCTGACCAGCCTGCGGCTGTCGGGCGGCGAGTGCCTGATGCTGGCGGAGAATGCGTTCTTCATGCTCAACACGTGCGTCCAGCTGGGCAGCATTTGCCTGATGGACTACAGCCTGTTCTGGCTGCTGGACACGATTGCGTATTATGGCGAGGAGCAGGACGATCTGGAGATACCCGCCTACGTGGATCTGGAGATTGAGGGCGGCGGCTTTGTGGGCGACATTATGAGAGGCATTGCGAATGCCTTTCGTCCCATCACGCAGAAGACGACGCTCGACTCAAAGTCGTGCCTGCCGCTGCCCGTCGAGCCGGACTATAGATACTATGCGGGCATCTTGCTGCTGTGTCTGCTCGCCTGGCTCATCCTGCTGACGGAACCGTATGCACTGCGCCTGCGCCACATAATCATGCAGAGATTCTATCCGGAACGCGCCCGTGCGCGTGCACAGTATTTGCATCGCAAGATAATCGAAAAGCGAGGTGGGCGCTGGTTCAAACCCAATCTTATTTAGACTATAAACTCTCTCTCTCTCCCTTTCTCTTTAGGCTGCTTCCTGAAGATGGCCCGTCGCAAGGCGCGCTCCCTTTTTATGCACCAGCAGGCGGGCGGACACAGCGGCTGCCTGGGCAAGCTCCTCCGGTTCGTAGTTCCTTCTACTACCTGGCATATTTGATGACCTTATGACCTCCCTCCCTTAGATGCTGCTGTTGCCTCTGTCTCCGGCCCGTTCGAGGCGAGGATGTGTGCATTCTGTGCGCCCAGCTGTTGAGCTCGTTAGTGTAGAGTAACTCGTGCCTCAGTTGAGTCTGTTTTGAACCAGGACCCTGCCCTTTTCAGCTCGACACGCGTACACTGCGATACGCCCGGCTGCAAGGGTGTCTACTGCCAGGAATGCTTCCGTGAGTCCAATGGCAAATGTTGCCTGTGCCAGCAGCCCGTTGATTATGGCGATTACAGCGACCTCTCCGAAGTTCAGTAAGTACAACTAGGGTCAGGGCTGCAAACCGGTTCGAAAAAGGAATTCCCATTTAATTTGTTTGAACCATGAACCGAAACCGAATTCCGATTTAATTTCCTTTTACCATGAGCCGATCCTTGAACCAAACCAGTTTCCTATGAATCGAACCATATTTATAGTTCTGGTTCAAATCTAAATAATTTTGAGAAAGTCCCAACTCCAAATCGCATTGCATCTGGGTTCATGTCTATGGAAACCCGGTTGACGAACCCTACCCTAAAGACAGGCAACTTGTTCGAGCCGTGAACTGAACCATTTCCCAATTCTCATTTGTGATTGCAGCCTTAAAATAAAAGAACTAACTCTTCTTTCAGGGACTCCTCCGATGATCCGGAGGCGGAATCCTTTGGAAAACGTAAGGCAAAACTTCTCTGCAGCAACTTTCGCTGGCAGCACAGCAAAAAGAAGCCGTAAACAAGCAGCAATAATTAGTTTTTGTTTATTTTAATTAATTTATTTGTAAATAATAATAAGATTATTATAATTCTTTAAAGTCCGGGTAAGGAGTAGGTTGATGGGAGCTTAAACCCACAACTTCGTGCTTCACTCACGATAATTAACGACAACATGTGCCTGCATTGTTATCGATAACTTATTGAATTTCAATAATATATCAAGCAGGGCTGCAAAATTCATTTCCACTAGTTCATTTTTAGTCAGAAACGGAACCAGTACTCTAATTAGTTGCATATAAAAGAGCTGATCTATTGGAAAATGGAAAAAGAACTGGTTTCACAGTCGTGGAAAAAGAGGTTCACGAACCGAAGCTTAGCACGAGGAAGTGGTTCGAACCGAGTAATAACAGAAACAAAATCGAGTAAAAATTCGAATGTATTTGAAATGACAATAAGTTTTGAGTTTAAAGTCGAGTCGCATTAGAGCAATTCATAGATATAATGAATGATAGTTACAGTGAATCATTCGCTTCGCCGACATCCGAGGGCGACTACGTCCGCATTGACGCTGGCGAGGGAGAAGGAAAAGCTGCCGCCAAAGAAAAGCAATCAAACGACAGCACTGCGACCCATGTCGGGATTGTCATTGAGGATAAAAAGGATAGGCCAGCGCAAGAGTATTATTACGGCAGGCAGAAGCTGTATCGTGAACGAAAATTTCGACGGAGATACGCAGAAACGGAAACGACCGCGGATCTAAGCGATACGAACGATGCGCCCATCTATCCGGAGGATCGTCCGCCAGCTCGTGCTGCCGAGAGAAAAGCTGATCCCAAGGAGCGGGTAGTCTACGACAACCTGATGATCTACATAATACTCGGCTATATAACGGGCATACTCCTGGTGCTCTTCTGGTATCTGCTGCACAATCGCCGGGAGAGCGCGGAGCTGAACCTCAAATGGTTTGTGATCGTGCTGCTGGGGCTGCTGCTGCTGATCATCTTCTACAGCCGCTCGACCAGGTGAGCTCACAGACCCAGCTTGTGTACAGGTGACCTGATCTTTAACGAACTTAGATGCGTCGGCATCTTGGCCCTGGCCCTCATGTGCAGCTACAGAGGACGGGCGCTGCTCGTCGTCTTAGCCTTCATCCTGGCTCTCTTGGGTCCCGTCACGAACATCATGCGCAACATTGAGATCGTGGCACTAAGCTTGTCCTGTGGCCAGATGCTGCTCCGGAATGCGCTGACGCCCATGCATGAAATCATGGGCGAACCCGTCTACGTTGTGGAGCAGGCGGTCTACACGTGCCTCAGCCAGGTGCGCAAGCTAATGGAGCGCTTGGATGCGGTCTTCCGTCGCCTCGAGGTCGCCATTGTCCAACTGCGTGAGTGTCACTTAAAAGGGGGGACTAGAAAGAACGGCTTTCTTCGGCACGCCGAAGAGCAAATACCCTTCTAGACATATGGCTTACGTATACCCGCAAATATCCTATATAGACATAGGTAAAAATTTCCCACGACCATAAACCGGTCAAATCTAATCCGATTTTCACGAGGTTTGGCTCTTTGTTCATTGTTTGACCTCTAAATCAATCTGGCATCTATATCCGACAAAGTCATTTTTAGTCGAAATTCATGCGAGAATGGAACCCTCAAATATCCTATATAGACATAGGTCAAAATTTCCCACGGCCATAACTCGGTCAAATCTAATCCGATGTTCACGAGGTTTGGCTTTTTGTTCATGGTTTGACCTCTAGATCAATCTGGCATCTAACTCTGACAAAGTCATTTTTAGTCGAAATTCATGCGAGAATGGAACCCTCAAATATCCTATATAGTCATAGTTCAAAATTTCCCACGTCCATAACTCGGTTAAATCTAATCCGATTTTCACGAGGTTTGGCTTTTTGTTCATTGTTTGACCTCTAAATCAATCTGGCATCTAAATCTGACAAGGTCATTCTTGGTCGAAATTCATGCAAGAATGGAACCCTCAAATATCCTATATAGACATAGGTAAAAATTTCCCACGACCATAACGCGGTCAAATCTAATCCGGTTTTTACGAGGTCGGGCTTTTTCTTCAGGGATTGACCTCTAAATCAATCTGGCATCTAAATCTGACAAGGTCATTCTTCGTCGAAATTCATGCAAGAATGGAACCCTCAAATATCCTATATAGACATAGGTCAAAATTTCCCACGCCCATAACTCGGTCAAACCTCATCCGATTTTCGCCGCTAGAGTATAATAATCTTTCTTATGTAGATGCCGGCTATAAGGGCTGCGATCAGTGGCTAATACTTGAGCAGACTTTCTTCGACAACCAAATGGGCTCGCCCCACGATCGGTGCTTGGGCGCCAGCACAATCGGCATGCAGGATTGCGTGCTGAAGTTTAAGCAAAATCAATCGATTTGTGTTTTGGAAGAGCGCTTTCAATGGTTCTGTGAAAATCTCAAGGACTTGCCCAGCTTCTTTGATGCCCATTTGAAGGATCAGCAGCAGATTGTCGATCAGGTGTTCGGACGTAAGTCGCACGATCAGTAAATTGAGCTCCACTTGCAATCTAAAACTCACAGGACCGCTGGAGATCTTTGCCAGGATCAGGGCCCACTTCGAGGTGAGCATTACGTTCGATCACAGCGCCGCGTCCAGCAAGGAGCGTGGCACATCCGTCAGCGATCTGGATCAGAGGATCGCCATTGAGCTCAAACGACAGACGAAACATTTGGCGCTCACATATATCTGGCTGTACCTGGTGATCATTATCCTGCTCATCTTCATATTCGTGCGCGCGATATACTTTCGCATGAACTACCTGGGCAGCGAGAATTTTCGCAATTGCTATTTGACCAAGGAGTTCTATGCCTACAACAAGATACAGCTGATCAACTATGCCAACAATGCTCTGCCCCTGCGTTCCGCCGAGCGCAACACATACGTCAAGGTGGGCCATCAGACGGGTAAAACACCTTTAAGAATCTATACAAATTCTCGCTAGTTTGGTTCGCGGTATGAACCAGTTTTCTGCTTTTAAATTTAATTGTGAACCTGGTTATTTTACTCATGTAACCAGTTTTCTCTGCTACTCAGAAGCCATACAATTTGAACTGGAACTTCCATATAATTCTTTTCAATTTTGAACCAGATCAATTTTCTAACCTGATTTTAACACAATTGTTATTTATAACTTTTTTTACTGGTTCAAATCGGATTTTGGTCAAATTTTAATTTATAATTTTCCCTTCTACTCAGAATATTGCAAGCCATTAAATTTGAACTGGAACTTCCATGGTTCTTTTAATTTTGAACCAGTTCATTTTCAAACCTGAGTTCGGCTAAATTTTCAATTAGAATTTTCTCTTTTACTTAAAATAAATGCAAGTCAAAAAATCTGAACTGGAACTTCCAAAGTTCTTTTTATTTTGAACCAGATCATTTTTGAAACGAAATAAGAATCCGTTCGGGTTTCGTTTAGAACATTTTTATTGGCTTTCTTAAAGGTTTGGTGATTATTAAAAAATTAAATTGGAGTTCCAGGCTCGAACCGGTTCGTTTATTTATTTAATTCAAATTTCTACTTGTTCACAGCTGAGTTCGTTCCGTCTCGTGTCCCATGAGCTGTTGTATGTGAAGCGTTCGCTGGTCTTTCTGATCATCATCAGCCTGCAGCTGTTCATCATTTGCTTTGTGGACTATAGCATCTTCTGGATGCTGGCCATCATGTCCTTTCATTCGCACAAAACAGCCGAGCTGCAGCGTGAGTGGACTCCCTCTCTCTCCAGAGAGAAGCTTACCCATGCTGAACCTATCTATTTTCCAGCACCGGCTTATACGAAGATTGTTATCAAGGGCGGCGGCCTGATCGGTGACATTTTGCGTGGTCTGGTGCAGGCTTTTGAGCCCTTGTCCAAGAATCTGATTGTGGACATCCAGCATTGCCTGCCGCTGCCCAGGCCGCCCAAGTTTCTGCGCTACTGGGAGATTATGATGCTCTGCATCCTGGCCTGGTGTCTGCTCTTCTGGGAGCCATACGGCACGCGTCTGCGCCACAAGATCATGGCCAGCATCTATCCACATAATGCCAATTTGCGTGCCGTCTACTTGCATCGCTGCCTGCTGCTAAACAGAGGTAGAGACTTCTTATATGGAGACTAGATATATAAAGTATACTCAAGATAAAGTCTAACTTTTCCTTTCCTATTGCAGATAACTTTATAAAGATTGCCAGACGCAAAGCGCGTTCGCTGAATTATTATCATAGCGAAAACTCGTTATCCAAGTACCTTGAAATTTATCGTGCCAAATTATATAAGTAGGTAAAAAGCATTATATTTTTTTTGATCAATAATTAATGCTAAGGACTTCCTGCCAGAATATCCTGTGGCTATTCGGGCACCTACAAGGGCAAGTACTGCATTATATGCATTGCAAAGTTGACCAGGTATGAAATGATCTCAAATTTCCCTTTGAATATATATTTCAGTTAATCTTAAAAGTTCATTTTCAGATCGGATTATGTAAACTGCAATACGGCGGGCTGCAGGGGTGTCTACTGTACGTCGTGCTTCTTGGAATCGAATAGCAATTGCATTTTATGCAGCCAACGAGCCAATTATGGCGATGCCAGCGATATTACAGATATTGAGTAGGTGTTGCACAGGTTTAGCCAGCTGATGAGTTATTAATTTATATATATAAACAACTTTTGCAGGGATTCATCTGATGATCCGGAAAGAGCATCGTTTCGTCCAGATAACATATATTGCCCCACAGGCAATAATCGACATAATCGACAAAAGTCTGCTTAGGCTTGTGACTAAATAAAAACGTATGATTTGACAAAAATACAATAATACTACTTATAACATACGTTTAAGGCTTGTGCTGAATGCGTCTTTTAAGGTTTGGTTAAGTATCGTGTTCTTTTGCATGCCTGGAGCACGCACGACTCGGCTTTCGTGCTTGAAAAAACAAATACCGTGCGTAGAACACAGACTTAAAATCGATATGGATTTAAAAGACTTGAATGGGAGCATAATTTATAAAAAATAACAGTTTTAATAGAGCTTAATTATTTGCTAACACATT